CGACCCTCTTGGCAGGGCGCCCTGCGCTTCGATCTCCCCAGAGCCCCGCATAGACCTGGCGCGCCGAATCAGACGGAAAAGTTTACGGGGGCCAGCTGGCCGTGTTTCTTTTCGAGCTCTTTCAGCCTTCCTGCCCCATACGGCCAGTTCCACACGCAGCCCGTGGTTATGCTGGCGGCGCCGCACGCGTTGCCCCCCTACACACACAACCCTCCCATTATTTTAGGGGCTTTGTTTTTACTCGTTTTTTTTGATCACATCTCAGGTGGACGTTCAAACCGACAGAAATACGTTCATACATGGTGTCCACCCCTCAGCGTCGGCTCCTGGGCCGGGCGGCAGCGCAGAGCGACGAAGTGGAATGATGAGCCAGGAGATTGTATGGACGTGGCCGGGGTTCGTCCCATCTCAACTACAGACAGGTGCAGGCAATACCATTGGCGGGGTATACGCACAATAAAACTAAACTAAAACAAAAATTTCAAGACTGATGAACAAATAACCGCTTGATTTCAGCGGCCTCATCTGGTGACGCACTTAGTGCCAGAGTTTCAGGAGGTGCTCCGTGGCTGGGATAGGCTGTGCGTGACCTGCGCCCCGGCAAGAACAAGCATTCCAAGGCGTCTCCTCAGGCACCCCTAAAGGCCGTCGTAACCCCCAAGAAAAAAGGAAGCTAAAAAAAAAAAACTATTTAAAAAGATCACCCGTACCGGAAAGAGAGAGAGAGAAAAAATTGTGCAGAGAGCTGGGAGAATAAAGGGAACAAAGTCACAGTTCTTTACAAAATAATGGCGAGGCAGGACGGGTGGAAGCTTCCCTTCTCTGTATCTGCCCCTGTCACGCGTATCGTTTTTGAACCTGAAGGCACTGAAGAGAGAAACAAACAACAAAAGAGGGACGTTGACACATGTCACAGCAAAATAATAGGAAAAAATTGAGGTTAATTCGTTTCCGTTTCTTCACCACCATTGGCGGATGTTTCCTAGCGCAAGTGTCTGTTTGTCAGCCGCCAATGGGACACGTCACCGCCACTCCGCAACAGCGAAAATATATGAAAGTGCAGAACTGACCGAGACTTTCTCTCATTTCTCTTTCGCACCTCGGTCTACACATCAATGCTAGTGGAAAGGTCGTACTCAATCGTCGGCACAACGGACGAAATAAATTTAAGAAAAAGAAAAAGTGCCATATGAGTGGGAAAAACAAAGGCACCTTTTTCTGTAGCGTGGGTCTGGTCCTCTTCATAACGCGTTTTCATGTGCTGAATCAAACGTTTCATTGTCTCAGCATGACGGCAAGGGTGAATACTGATACACGCCGCCTTTAGAAAGGGATGGGGATCAATAGAAACTGTCTTTTCCCTATTTGCAGCATATACATCCTGCATCATCTCCTCCTTGCTCAGAAGGCTTGCGTGATCTTCGGCGTAGCCAATAAGGAAGATGCGTGGGGTTTGGTAGTATTGATCATAGACCATATACACATCATACAAACGACACTCTCGCTCGCCAGTGTCCTCTGCATGATCTTCATCATCATCCTCTTCGTCCCAGTTGATCGTTTTCTCAGGGGGTATGACGACGGGTTGGCCGGGATGGTGCTCAGCGTGTGTCGTCACCCAGCCATCTTCGTCTTCCAAGTCATTGTCCTCGAGGTGCTGGACATCCGGGGCTCGCTGATAGCACGGGGCCCCACGGTAGACCAGGTACTTTTTTTTTGGTGGAAGAAAGGGTTGAATACCTTCTTCGCCCTCGGCCCATGCCCACACAGGCATCTTCTGCACCAACTCATCCCCCGCCTCAACAAACTCCAGCGGAGTCAACGTCCCAGTGACCTGGAAATTCGAGACCGTTTTCACCCCATGCAGACAATTGTATATTTTTTTGAAGTTTTCGTACAAGCTCCGCTTGTTCATTTTTGATCGCTAATCTTGTTCCTGCCTTGAACACAAACTCCCGCCACCGCACCAAGAAAGATGGTGATCGAGCGAGCGAAAGGGAGAGAGATGGTAAGAAAAGAAGGGCGAAGAACAAGTGCCAGTATGAGCCAAACAAAGTTAAGTTTGGGCACTATTTCCCGTTAATTAAGTCAAGAAGGGTTGAGGAGGACAAAAATGACAAAAAAAAAAAAAATAGCGGCAACGCCACAGCCCTGGCCACCGGATGCATAAAAAAATGGTGAGCAGCTTCAGTTCCCTCTACACCATCACTATCCCCCCCTCAGATCTTTCAAGTTAATTGAAGCGGCTTCAGTGCCTCTTGACCTCCACCTCCCGTCAAGGCAGCAGTTGAAGACTGTACAAGCTCTCGGGGAAGCGCAGATCGCCTTAGTGAGACCGCAATCTTTTGTCGAAGATGGGGTGACGAGGCCTTATTGGTAGCCTGCTCCAACAGTGGAGTCGCCACCTCCACATCGCGAAGCAGACGATGAATACTTGATGAACCAAAAAGTAATGTGAGAGGCACTTCATCCCAACGGCAAGCATTTGATGAGGCATGACGCATTAACATCATCATCACTTCATCATTGCCATACCCAAGGGACTGAAACGCATTAATAAGAACCCCCGTATCCATTGGGGAGAGGAACGCATGAACCCGCACAAGACGATCCCCTATATGAGTCAAGACTTGCGGGACACGCAGTGAAAGTTTCGCCATTCCTGAGACAATTTGCACCAAAGGGCCAGCATCCATCTCATTCCATTGCTCAGCACTAATAGCCAAGACAAGTCGTTTGACGCTTCGATGAAACACAAACCGTACCGACGCAAGACTATGAAGCATAGCCCCAACACTGGTTGCAGATAGCTTGCATACCATGTTGCTGCTCATAAGGTAATCCAGGCATTCTTTCAAAAGTTTATCTTCCTTGAGTACTTTCTCCTCAAATACACCAAATAAATATTTGAGGTCATCCACACGAGTGTCTTTAAGAATGGAAACATAATCCTTGGCCAATTTTTTCAGCGTTTCCGTGTCTGCAGTTCGGGTCTCAATCATTTGGTTAATGATGTTCCACCCCTCTTGTTGAAGTTCCGTTAAGGGGACCACGAAGTTGGAGGGATCGTTCTTGTTCATCCACTCTGTCGGAGGAAGTGTTGATTCCCCCCTAACACCATCGGTTTGCACCTCCAAGAGAAATTTGTGGACGGCAGGGTATTTGTCAAGAATATCCTCACCAAGAGCAAGGCATACCGTATTGGCTGCCTCACTACTATTCGCGGACGGTGATGCTGATGCACACTTTGTGTCAAGGTAGCGTGCGACGTTTTCGAGAAACACAGGGTCAGTGTATCCGAGCTGGTGCAAGCTCTCTGTAGCTGCAAGGGCGGACTTTATCTCCATTCCGTCCGCAAATCCCCGTTGCAGGTTCTCCACACAAAAACGCAGAAAAGCATCCATGTCCTCCTTCTCTAGTTCGCGTTCCACTTGGTCTTCCAGAGAATGGGTCTCTGGGGTCCGTATGAGGCCTCGCACAAAGCACTTCAAGGCGGCACACAGCTGAATCATAGGAATACCGGAAGCTGTCTTGGCAAACTCATTGCGAAGGTGTCGATAGACGCGCCTATCCTTCATGTTATGATCCCCCAACATTAAAAGAAAACGAAACGCCTGAAGCGTTGGGAAATGAATCCCCTGCTCGGCGGCTTCTCGAATGATGGCCAGACCGCATTGTCGGGTCTCCTCCATATTTACATTAAGCAGATTTGGAATAATTGAAAACGGTGGGTTTTCATCCGCGACAATGTCTTCGAGTCTCTCTGTGACGTAATCCACACATAATTTTATTGCTCCTGTAAACTCCATGGGTCGCTCACGATCCACTGGAAGCAGGCTGTCCAGGGCAAGGAAGCGAGAAATGAAGGACTGAATATTAGATACTGAAGTTTCCCCCTTGAGACCCCCCTCCTCCACAGACCGCGACAAAATAACTTTTACCTCCAGGCTTAGGAAGATGATCATCTCAGTGATGTCTCGCAGAAGTTCTGGCCTTACCTGTCGAGGAAGTGCTTTAAGCGCTCGGCAGAGCGTTATCACCGTCTCTTGATCCAGGTCCTCCCCTTCAATCACACGTTCCGCCAGACATTTAATGGCATCCGGGCTAATTGCATCGTTCTGTTGCTGGCAAATAAAACTGAACAGCTGGACAGCACTGAAAAAATCACTCTCCTCTGCAAAACGAATGGCTTCCTCTTGCAATGCAATTGCCAAGGCACTATGCTTGAATTGAATTTTATTGGCACATGCACACACTTGTCCAATAGCTGCTGGAGTCAAGACTTCTGCCAGTGACACAACTCGATCAGCTGCTGCCTGTAGGCATGAAGAATTCTTCAATTCCGGTAGTGAAGTAAGGATGGCAAACAACACAGGAAGCTCACTCTGAGAGGCGCTTCGCACAGTCGTGTTGACAAGTTCTTCCGTGGCCACCCCAAGTAAACTGAGGTGGCGACCCCACCGACTTGCATGTGCAAGGGCAATACGATAGTCATGCAAATCCCACTTCTTCCCTTGAAGACCTGACAGGCATACCTGAACTGCCTGCTCCCATATGACGTCGTCGCACCCTTGTTTTGGAAGACACTGCAGTAATACTGAGGCTCTTCGGCCATGTGATGGCTCTGTGGGGCAGATTGGGACTAGCTCCATCACACTGGTGATGGCATCAGGATCCCTGCGGCAGAACCGCCTGAAGGGGGCAACCACGAATTTTAGTCCTTTACGGTCCACAAAGGCGGATATTTCTAGCAAAGCGACCATGGTCCGCCGCACATCATCCTTGCCACTAAAAATGGGCTTACCGCATCGCTCCAACAGCCGTCCGAGTTTGGTTGGCAACATATACCCTGCCAACTGATGTATTTTATCATGTTGCATTCATTTTTTTTCGACAAGTATGGGATAAGAGGTATAGGAGGGGAGGAAGGGGGGCATGAAAGTGTGACAGGGCATAGTAATCGCCCACCCTCACAAACACACAAGCGAAGCGGAGATGGAAATAAATTTAAAAAGAAGAAGTGTAAAAGAATCACATGATGCGTCTTATGAAGGGTTATACATATGTATATATATATATATATATACCATTTTCTTCACGTTTCTAGTTACTTTTGTTTCTTCATCTTTGTCTCTCCCTTTTCTTCATTGCTCATGATTCTCTACATAAGCGTGGGAAAGCTTCAGCAGCCACCGCCCTCTACGGAGGAAGCAACGTCACAACATCTTTGAGGTGAATTTGTTGTCCCATTTGCTTGGCCTGCAAAATGACGGCATCTCTCAACGCGGCGTTTCCACGAGCAATGCCAATGCTGACGCGAGCCACATCCACTACATCAGGGCAATCTGCCTCACCTCCAATACGGTAGGCATGTTCATAATAGAACAATGCGTGTTGGTGATCATGTATGAGAGAGTACACTTCGCCAAGCAACAGTAGACAGATGGCAGCTCCGCTCTTGTCCCCACCAAGACTACACTTTTCCAAGCACTGCTCCAAGTCTGTCTGAGCCACCCGCATGTTGCCCATACGCAGATGCACGAGGCCCTGGTTTCCAAGTGCGATCGTTTCCAAAAGAGTACTCTCACATGTGCGTGCATTTGCCAGGGCATCTTCAAGAGCAGATTCTGCAAAACTCAGCTCCCCAAGCGCGGCGTAACTGACCCCCATATTGATTTGAGCCACCGCCCGTGAGTAACATCCACCAAGAGATCCCTGCCGCTTGTGATGCAGCAACGCTACCTTAAACTGCCGCAGACGGCAGTAGCAGACACCCAAGATGTTGTGACAAAAGGAAATGCCACGCAAATCACCTATCAATTCAAAAGCTGAAAGAGCTTTGGCAAAGAACGACCGTGCGAGCTCCATATTTCCGCTATTGTAATGCAGGGAAGCTGCAGTGCAAAACAAATGCGCCCCCTCCTTTGTGTTGCCAGCACGAATGGCAGAATGGCCCCGAGAAATGGCATCCCTCATAACTTTCAGCTGTACCACACTGTCATCACCGGCTGCAGCCAAGGATCCTGGACGTCGCGCCATCCAATGCACCGGCACGGACTCGGCGCCCTTCAACAGAGCCGTCACCCGCCGCGCGAGTGGGAGGTTCGTCGGTGGGTCCTCAAGGGGCGGTGCGTGAATTTCTTCAGGGGTGATGAAGCGAAGCGGAACGTCCAGCGCACTCTCCCTGACACGAACTGTTTTTACTGCCAACTGAAGCACTTCATCACCATCGTATTGGCGCTGGAATGGAAGCTCCGGAATCACCTGTGCCGGTGGCCCGTCACGTTCAGCAAAGCGATATGTCTTGTTGAGTGCAATGTACCGTTCCACTGCGCGAAGACTAGTCGTATTCAGCAGACGATGTGAAGCCGACTGGAGAACTGTGTATTTCTTCCGCGTGCTCGAAACAATCGTCTTTCCATCCTCCACCTGCTGGTGGCTTATAGGCTGTTGCTGCAGCGCTTCGCCGCCACCGTCGAAGTCTACGCCTGCCGGTGGCACCAAATCTCCACTCTGCATCCCTGCCACACTGAACTTTGACGTCAGCAAACCTGCAACGCCCACCTGCCTAGAGACACGCCTCAAACTCATCAAGCAAAGAAGAACAAAATACGTGAGTGTGTGAGAAGATGTGAGAGCGAACAGACAAAGTTCTATGCTCCCCTAATAAACCATAATAATAACAAAAAAAAAAGTTAGTTAATTCACATTTCCACAGTTTCCACAACTACCTCAACAGGTTCGTTCAAGAAACCAGTAACAAATCCAAAACAAATTTTCATTATCCATAATCATCAATTAAGAGGGAATAGGATGAAGTAATGAAAGGGATATTTGACCTGCCTCCCACGCTTCGCACTCCACAACGCACAAGTGTTTTACTCCCCGCCACGCCACGCCAACCCGATATCCCCCCCACAGGATTACCTTCCGACGTCACGCATACCCACGCAGCACGCACCCCTGGAATTCGCCAGTCCTTCTCGACTGCAATGGCCTCACGCCAAACTTTCAGAAGCTACGTTTCCCCTGTGCATCGCACGCATGCGCGCCGTGCCGTCAACACAAATTTGAGTAGTTCCTACCGAATGTGTGCGGAATGCCCCGACGGTCAAACGAACGATTCGCGCCTCCGCCTGTGAAAGCGCGTGTGGTGCGTCTTTTCACGCACGGCCAACAACCATCACTTCGCCAGCATCCTTCCATCGTGACGCGCCTCGT